GTCCCTCCCAACCCAAACCAGTCTGGGATTCTCTCAACACCCTGGGCCTGCTCAGATCCTCCATTACCCCAGCACCCCCTGATTCCATTTTATGGCATCTTCCCACTCTCTGTGCATGTTCTGCATTGATTTCTCTTTGTGGGGTTTCCATCATCCAGGTGATCTGTCACCTTGCCCTGTCCTCACCAGGGGCATCCAAACCCCCCTCCCCTGTGTGAGCCGGATCCTCCCTTTGTGTCCCTGAGCAAACAGCCCGAGGGGCCTGGGCAGCTCCTGGCAGCAGCTGGACAGGGCTGGGAGCACCTGGGACAGTGGGAGGTGTTCCTGCCATGGCAGGGGTGGCACTGGATGAGATTTAAGGTCCCTTCCAACCCAAACCAGTCTGGGATTCCACAATTAACCCCACCAGTGCACATCCCCCACTGCCATCGTGCTCATGGCTCCTTTCTGGTTTCCTCCTCAGCTATGGGGGCTACGTCCCTCAGTTCACCTTCACCTTTGGGGACACCTATGGCAGGACCACCCATGAGCTGCTGACAGATCCCAGTGTCAGGAAGAGCCCTCGCTCCCTGCTGGCACCACTGGACTCCAAGGAAAACCTCCTCCAGTACCATTACCACATCGACCACCCAGGTGAGCAAATGGGCCCTGCTAATGAGCACTAATTAATTAATTACCAACGGTGGGCTCTGTCCTTGGATGAAATGGGATTTTTTCCTTGGGGAATCACAGCTCTGACAGCTGGGGAGGAGCAGAGTGAGGTGCTGCAGCTCTTGGCCCCAGCTGATGAGGATGGGGATTCTGGTGCTGGGGAGAGTTTCAGTTCCCAGGTTATCTTCAGTTCAATGAAGATAAGAGATTTTATGGAGTATCATTAATTCACTCCCCAGTTCTTCCAGAATTCTTGTTGTGGTTTAAGCCTGGCTGGCAACTAAACCCCATACAGCTGCCTGGTCACAAATCCAAACCATGGCCTTTATATTCTATAAAGAAAATTACCTCTATCCCAGTCAAAACCTGCACAATTCCACAGGCTAAAATCCATCTTTCTGGGGAAGGTCTGGTCTCCTAAATCAGATTATTTTCTGGCTCACCTGCCTGGTGCACAGCTCACTCTGCTCTGCTCTGCTCTGACAGCTTGGCCTTGATTCTGCTTCTTGCTGCTCCTCCTCAGCTCAGCAGAAGGGATCCTGTGCTTTCCTTTTCCCCCTTTTCTCTCTTTTTTTTTCCTCTCTTTTCCTTTTTTCCCTTCTCTTTTCCCTCTTTTCCCCTCTCTTTTCCTTTTCTCCCCTCTTTTCCCTTTTTCCTTCCTCTTTCCCCTCTTTTTCCCGCTTTTCCTTCCCCCCCCTTTTCCCTCTTTTTTTCTCCTCTTTTCCCTTTCCCCCTCTTTTTTATCCCTCTTTCTCCTGATTTCCCTTTCCCCCCTCTTTTCCCTTTCCCCCCGTTTCCCTTTTTTACCCCTTCTTTTCTCCTTTTTTCCCCCTCTTTTCCCTCCTTTTTTCCCTCTTGTCCCTCTTTCCCCTCTTTTCCCTTTCCACTCTGCAAACAGACTCCACCTCCTCCATCAAGCACAGACAGGCTCATGTGGATTCCCAGCATTGGGAATTTGCAGGAATTTCCTTCCAAGCCCCAGCCCTTTGTCCAGAGTGCTGTGTCCCTGCTGAGCAGCCCCAGGCAGGCACTCAGGGCTGTGCTGGGGATGTGCCATCCCTTGGGGACACATTTGCCACCCTTTGGGGACACTTTTGCCACATCCCATGGCTGTGCAGATGCCCTGGACAGTGGCAGGGAGTTTCCTGCATGCTGAACACAGGGATAAGGTGCCCCTGTGGGATCTGTGTCTTTATTTCCCTAGGGATGGCCACATCCAAGTGTTCCTCTCTCATTTCTCACTGGGAATTTGTGTCATGCAGCTTCTTGGGGCCTCTCTGCCGCTCTGGCCCTGCTCTCCAGGTTCAGGCCTGCACTGCACAGCTGGTGTTTACAGGCCTCATTCCTGGAGATCTGGATTTGCATTTCCTTGGTCTAAAACACACCTTGGACAGACCCAACTAACCAGCTGACCAAGTTGCTCTCTCATTATTTTGGTTCCCTCCTGGTTGCCCGTGCTGGTGCTCGTGTTTGCTGCTCCTCAGGGAGGTCCTGAAGAACCAGCCCTGGCTGTGCTGACAAGGTCACCCAGCCCTGCTGCCCAGCTGGGCCTGAGAAATCCCTCAAACCCTGCCAGGTGCTCCTGGGTGTTTTATGTGATTGTTTTATGTGATGGTGATCAAAGAGCTCATGGCAGTGTGGGGCCTGTGGCAAACTCAGTCTCAAGATTTTTTCTCAAGGCCTGGCTTTGATAAAGCCTCATGGACAGGCACCAATACTTTGATAGTTTCTATCAGTTGAATCCCATTTGTTTTCTTGCTGGAAGTGCAATCAGGCTCTGCTGTTGGGGATCTCTTCACTCTGGTGATCAGGGAAAGGCCAGGGCAGCTCAGGCTGGAGCTCAGGGCAAGGCTCTGCCCCCAGAGGGTGCTGGCACTGCCCAGGCTGCCCAGGGAATGGGCACGGCCCCGAGGCTGCCAGAGCTCCAGGTGATCCCTGTGGGTCCCTCCAGCTCAGGACATTCTGTGATTCCATGAGATCAACCAGGGATGTGCTGAATTATCCATCATCCATGCTGCAACTGGAACCTGAGCTGAAAATGTGGATATTTCCTCAAATCAGAAGCACTGTGCTCTCCTGGCTTTTCATTTCGTGCTCCACTGTGCAGCCTTTCAGAATTAATCAGTTTGCAAACCCCAGGGTGACAAAAAGGAGCTCACATGGATTTCTCAAGTACAGAACAAGCTAAGTTTCCTTTTCCTTTGGTTTGTGGGAGAAAGAGAGTAGATTCAACATTCTTCTTAATAATGAAGTAAAAAAATAAACCTGGTTTAAAATTTGCATAGCGGATTGAAAAATCATTTTAATCAAGGATTTTTTCTTTCTTTTGGTGCCGGCCTGGATACTTGATAATTCAGTTGCATAGAGCATATTATATATATTTCCCAAAGTTGTATACAGAATATATATTATAATATCTATTATTTATATATATATCTATAATATATATTTATATATAAATATATAAAATATATAAAATATTTTTATATAATATATATTATATATAACATATATAATAATACTATATAACGTATATATTGCTTTATATATATATAACAATATAGTTATATAAAAATTAAGTTGCATACAGAATATGTATAATATATATTATTTATATACATACATATATAATATATATTATATATAAATATATAAATATATATTATATAATATTATGTATATAATATTTATTATATATAGCGCATAATAATATTATATAATGTGTGTATATATATATAATGTGTATATATGTGTGGGTGTATATGTATATGTGTGTGTATATATATATATACATTTTATATATATATATATATATGTATATATATATATATATACATTATTGTATAATTATGGGCAGATGACACACCGAAATGCCCACCAGAAATTTATACTCATGCAGAAAAGGGTAGATTTTGCTGATTTCTGTAGATTTTCAAAAATCATGGAATCATTCAGCTTGGAAAAAACCTCTAAGAGTATTCCAGCCCTGCAGAGGAATGGGCTGTCTGCAGATGGAGCCTCTGCTGGGAGGGAGCTCCTCATTCACTCCCCAGGCTCAGCCCTGGGATGCAGATGTGCTCCCAAGGGGAGCTCACAGGAAGGCTGTAATGACCTGGGAAAAAATGGTCTGTGAGCACAAAAATGGAAGGAATTTGGTTTGTTTTGAAAAAGCCAGGCTGACACAGGAACAGTTTTCCAAGAAGGCTGTGGGGTGGAGGATTCTCCTCTGGAGATACAGAGGAGGGGAAAATGAGTTTCACTGCTGGCACACAGAAAGTGCCTGAGCCAGGGAGGTCACACAGGGCTGGGGAGCCACGTCAGGGGGATTTTTAAGGGGAAATCAGAGAAAAGTTGCCCAGCTCAGCTGTAACTGCAGAATCTCAAATGACAGGGCTCTGTCCCTGGTTCACAGTGGAGATATTTGGATGGGAGATAATGTTTTTCCAGCCAGTGTTACAGCAGATCCTTTCCTCAATGAGCAGAAACGGTGTCAGAGCAAGAATTCCTTGGAGGGGGCTCTGTTTGGGGTGGGCTGACACTGCCACGTTGAGGATTGAGGGTTTTTCCCCCTTTTAGCTTGGCTGGTGATATTTTACTGTTTCAGTGACAGCTGGAATAAATGTTATTTAACTGGGATTTGTGCTGGATTTCTGTGCAGGCTGGATTATTGATGGGGCTGATGAGGATCAGAGGAAAAATGGAAACAAAACTTGTGAAAAAAGAACTCAGCAGGCATAAGTATACTGCTCCCAGGATTTGGAAACTGAAGGACCAAGAGGGCTACAAGGAATAATGATGCATCCAAAACCATTGTAGGAATAATATGGAAGCCTGTACAAAGCAGAAATTCCATATCTCATTGTTTCCTGCAGTACATTCTTTATGTATTGCAGCTTCCCTTTGGCTTTTAGTAATTTACATTTAATTTAAATAGAGTTCATAGTGCATAGCTATTCTGAGATGTGCACGGAGTGGATCCTCGTGGTCTCCTCCAAGTTGATCTGTTCTGGTTCTACCTCCAGGCTCCTTCCCATGGCACGGGGATAGCGGGAATGCCTCATCCTCTAACTCAGTGTCTGTCCCTCAGGTTATGTCACCTACCAGACCATCACGAGCCCTCCCGAGATCCCCCTGGGGCCTCAG